CTCAGAGTATTTCTACAACTGTCCTACTATCCATATACCCGGTACGGACTCTGGTCCACAGTGCATAACTTGAATGTGGAACTTTAATGTGTCTAATCTAAATGTTCCTCTCCTCCAGGTCGTACATTCCCTGTTGATCAGTTTTTTCTTGAAGATGCCATTGCTAAAACTGGGTAATAATCTTCACTTTTCTTCTAGCTAAATAGTCTAGAAAAGCCTGGCATTTGATTTGAGATTTTCCAGGTCTGGATGAAATGAAATGTTTGAATTTTCACATTTTACTCTTTATTCCATTTGTCTTCCTTTCTTGGTTTCTGTCTTTGTTTCTTTCTCTGTTTTTCTTTCCATTGTCTGACTTTTACTTTCTCTTTTTTTCTGTTTTTTTCTGTCATTCATTCATTCATTCTCTTTTTATTTCCTGTCTTTTTTTCTTGTTTTCTCCTTTATTTGTCTGTTTGTATTATCTGTCCATCCATTGCTCCATCTGACCTCTGCCCCCTAATCCTTTGTTTCATTTATGTTTCCAGCTACGTCATAGAAGATGGCAGCCCTTTCATGCGCTCAGGAAAACAGAACTCGTCTTCCGCAAGCACCCGAGGAGGCGTGAGGGACGCGGTGGACGACTTGGGCGACGACGTGTGGAATTTCATGTCTTTCTGCAAGAAAGATTTTGTTAAAGATTCGATCCCAGACCAGCAGCTCAGCCTGCAGGAGCTCACCGTTAGATACAAAGGTGAGTTTAGCAGAAATTGTTCAGCTTCTAGGTTCTGTCAGGGTGTTAATGATCCACTTTGCTCCTACAGACACAAAGAAATCTGTCCTTAAAACTATCGCTGCCATGGACCTGGACAAGATCAACATGGACTTGGTGGAGAGCCTGCTGGAGTGGATAGTGGACGGACAACACAACTACCCACCAGGTCAGAGTTTTTCAGAGCCAGTCAGGACACTTTGTGCTGCTCTTTGTAAAACGGTGACATTCTTAATATTTTAAACAACTTTTATTGGTTTGATTGCAGGTGCTGTGTTGGTGTTTATGCCAGGCCTCGCTGAGATTAAGATGCTTTACGAGCAGCTGCAATCCAACAGGATATTCAACAACAGACGCGCCACCAGGTTTGGGATCTTTATTACCTTTTTTTTTTTTTTTTTTTAAAATGCAATTTTTTTTTTTTTTTTTTTTTTTAAGTGAGCTTTACAGAAACAGAACATTTACCGACATTAAATCCTGCTGTTTGTGCAGCAAAATAATTTTTGGATGTTTAGTCAGTGGGCAAAATTATTGTCTTTAAGAAAAATGGCAAGAATCCCTTAAAATAAACATAAACATTTACTTAAAACTCATTCTCTTTTTTAAGTTAAGAATTTAGAGTAGTACTCAGTTTAAGATGATCGCTCCAGCAATGAAAGATTCACTTATTCTAAGGCTTTTTGCACATCCTGTGAATTCACTGAATTACATGATTCTCCGTTTTATAAAAGATCCACGATGTTCAGTTTTTGTGTTTGTCGCGCACACACACACACACACACACACACACACACACTAGATGCGTTGTCTACCCTCTCCACTCCACCCTGTCCAACGAGGAGCAGCAGGCCGTCTTCAGCCGCCCCCCCGAGGGCGTCACCAAGATCATCATCTCCACCAACATCGCGGAGACCTCGGTAACCATCGACGACGTGGTTTACGTCATCGACTCTGGAAAGATGAAGGAAAAGAGGTGGGGTTAGATTAGATTAAACAGATGAATCCTTTTTTTTTTAAAAACGGTTTTGAGACGAGTCCGCGTTGCGCTGCCTGTTCTCTCAGGTATGATGCTTCCAAGAGCATGGAGAGCCTGGAGGACTCATGGGTGTCCCGGGCCAACGCACTGCAGAGGAAAGGTCGAGCGGGCCGAGTGGCCTCTGGGGTTTGCTTCCACCTCTTCACCAGCCACTGCTTCCGCCACCAGCTGGCTGAGCAGCAGCTGCCCGAGATCCAGAGAGTTCCCCTGGAGCAGCTCTGCCTCCGGTCCGTCCGTCTGCTTCCCGGTTTTACTCCTTTTGTTAAAGCGGAGTTTTTAAATTCTAACTCGCATTTCCTGCTCTTTCCGTGACAGAATTAAGATCCTGGACTTGTTCGCCGAGCAGCAGCTGGAGTCCGTCTTCTCTCGGCTCATCGAGCCGCCGGCCGAGGGGAGCCAGGACGCAGCCAGGCAGCGCCTCCAGGACCTGGGAGCTCTGACCCCGGACGAGAAGCTGACCCCGCTGGGCTACCACCTGGCCTGCCTGCCCGTCGACGTGCGCATCGGGAAACTCATGCTGTTCGGCGCCATCTTCCGCTGCCTCGACCCGGCGCTCACCATCGCAGCCAGTCTGGCCTTTAAATCACCGTTTGTAAGCAGGATTTTCTTTACGATGTGAATCACAACTACGTGGAGCTAATCTCTAATATGAAAAAAAAAACAAAAAAACAATTCAACATCCTGATTCCTGAAGACTTTGTGCATTTGGGCTATTTCCAGGTGTCACCTTGGGATAAGAGAGAGGAAGCCAGTGAGAAGAAACTTGGCTTTGCAGTGGCTAACAGTGACCATCTGGCTTTGTTACAGGCATACAAGGTACTGACTTTTTTTTTTTTTTCTACGAAGTATGAATGGCATTACACAGTCTAATTACCTTTCCCACCATTTGTGTTTTAAATCTGCTGCTTCTGTGTAAAAAAGCAATCAACTGTCTTATGATGCAGCAACAACATAGGATAGAAATATCTGGGAATGTGAGTTTTGGAACGGTATAGATTGTGCAACGGATCCTCTCCCTCCTCGGCAGGGTTGGTGCTGCGCTGCAAAGAGCGGTAACCAGGCCGGCTTCCGCTACTGTAGGGAGAACTTCCTGTCCTGGCGCAGTTTACAGGTCAGAAATCACAAACTTCTTAGATAAAAGTTTGGGATCGTGTTGTGAAATAAACTCTTTAAAGATCTTAAACTTTGCTCCCTTTCCAGGAGATCGCCAGCCTGAAGAGGCAGTTTGCGGAGCTGCTGTCAGACATCGGCTTCATTAAAGAGGGATTGAGGGCCAGGGTTATTGAACGCTTATCCTCACAGGGAGCGGATGGTGTTTTGGAGGCTACTGGGCCTGAGGTGAGTCACACACACACACACACACTGAATCCATCGTTTTGCTTTAAATGTGAAGAACACCTCTTTGAAATTTGTCATATTTTGCTTCCCAGGCCAACCTTAACTCAGAAAACATCCGCCTGATGTCTGCAATGCTGTGCGCAGCTCTCTATCCAAACGTGGTCCAGGTGATTGTCCTTCGATGTTTCCTGCTCCCAATAGTTTTAAAAAGGTTCTTTTATGAGCTGAAGCTCGATGTTTTCGGTCGATCCAGGTTCGAGCTCCTCAGGGGAATTACAAGATGACCAGCAAGGGCGCCATGAAGATGCAACCGAAAGCCAACGAGCTGCGCTTCATGACAAAGAGCGACGGCTGCGTCCACATCCACCCCTCGTCCGTCAACTACACGGTACGCTTGAGCCGCAGGGAACCACTGAGGTCGGCTCAGACAAAAAAAAAAAAAAAAAACGTGATTCTTTCAACTCTCAGGTGCGCCATTTCGGCAGCCCCTACCTGGTTTACCACGAGAAGGTGAAGACGAGCCGCGTCTTCATCAGAGACTGCAGCATGGTGTGCGTCTACCCACTGGTGCTGTTCGGAGGCGGTCAGGTCAACGTGGAGCTCCACAAAGGGGAGTTCGTCATCTCTCTGGACGACGGCTGGATCCGGTTCGCAGCAGCGTCTCATCAGGTCGGACAAACTGTTACGAATTAAATAAAATAACTTGATCCCAAATTCTTGAGAATACCAACCTGTGTGTGTGTGTGTTTTCCAGGTGGCTGAGCTGGTAAAGGAGCTGCGCTGGGAGCTGGACCAGCTGCTGGAAGACAAAATCAGGAACCCGAGCATGGACCTGTGCAGCTGCCCCCGAGGTTCCCGCATCATCCGCATGATCGTCCACCTCATAACCACCCAGTAAGGCCCCGGCGGAGCGCCGCATGATCCGTTTACCCTGAAGGGCTAAAACATGTGGAGCTCTGCTATTGACTGTAATTGAATCTCCAGCTCTATGCAGACGACGAAGTCGTATTTTTGATATCTCGTTTTGTGTATCGATTCCAAACCGTTACCACACATGCACTAAAGCACACGTGCACTTGATGTCAGATGATCTCTCGAAGTGGTCACTGTAGTTGGGGTTGTGTGTGTCACAACTTGAGCGTTTTCTCGGGTCCATATTGGATTTTTTTTCTTTTTTTTCTTTTTCAATTCTGAAGTGACTGCATGCAAATGTGTATTTATTTGAAATGCATGGTTGATTGAGATCCAAGAGCTGCTGCATGGTGTTCAGATATTTTCCAATATGCCGAATGTATTTTTCTGTTGAAATGATGTCAAAACTACACTTCAACAATGTGAACGGAAGGGCTACAGAGACGGGTCGTGACCTACGCCGCCAAAGAAAGCCATCATCTTTCAAATGACAAAACCCCACTTCACAGTGCCCTGCAAATAAAACTGAAAGTAATGCCTGGTTTCAGTATATTCTTTGTCTTAAAATGCAAATTTTTCTACTACTTTTCACTTCAGTTGATGCATTTTCAATTGTTAAGACTTTGTAATGAGGTTAGAGTGGCGCTGCGAGTTGGGGTGGGAGGTTTGCCGTCTCTTGGATTCAGTGAAGAAATGTAGAGGTCTGTGAGAAAGGCCAGTCGCTTCATTCAGTCCAGGGTCTGCGGTCTCCATGACAACAGGTTGTAAACAAGCGGAGTATCACCATCTCACCATTTGGTTGCCACTCCGAACCGTGCCAAGACAACCACTGGTAAGAATTATTTTAGTTTTTTTTTTTACCTCTATACTTTTAACTTATTTTCTTATTCATCTTATATGTGATGTCTCTTCCAGAAATGTAAAATATCTTCTGCTATGGCAAAGTATTCAAAGTTATTTTAAAAAGCCTATAGGTATACCTGTCAATCATATATTAAGAACAATTACTTTTTATTTTCTAGCAAATCGAAGTCTGCCAAGACGACCAGGAGTCCAAAAACACTAAAAAAGAAACCTTCTTCCAAATGCAACAAGATGGAGGAGAACATCCTCAGCCGTGCAGCCATGGAGAACCTCTACTACATGTCCCACAATGCACCAGACTGTCTGGAGTGCAGAGGGTTTGGGTGGCCAAATTCCCAAAAGAAGGGAACAAAACAGAAGAGAAGACAGATAAGATCTGCCAAACATTAAAGGGTTATAGCGCCATCTGTTGAAAGAGCATTTTTAGTGCAAGAGTTGATGCTCAAAGGAATGAGATGATGTTTTAATGTCATTTTCTGTAACTTTATTGTAGGCTTGAGGAATGAGAACAATGTTTGTGAAGGTGTAGCAAAATGTTTGGCAGTTACTAAAAATTCAGACTGTAGTTAAATTATGTTGTACATCTCAATGCACTTTAAACATTATCATCACACTGCATTATACAAAAAAAAACAAAAAAAAACAGGCGACCAGTGCTGGCAAATCAGACTTTAAAGTGATCCCACCAGTTAGCTGCATTATTCGTTAAATCAAGTTTCTAGGCAATTTACCCAAGGAGGAAAACTTCAATGGGAACAAGGATTTACTACAGAGGAGGGAAACAAATACTGCTTCTGGAACTGCTTATGCTTTTACTCATATCAAATAATCCTGCAGCGAATGCACACACACCCCTGAGCCAATATAACCCTGTGGATAAATAATCTCTGCAGAAGATGTCTCCTCTTCCTTGAAGCACAGTCCAGCTTTGCTCACTCTGGGGGCTTCTTCTTGGCCTCCACGTCCTTCTTAAAAGCTTCGATTTTCTTGGCTATGTTGGGAACCTACAGGGGTCAGAATCTAGGTTAATATTGGCAACAGAACATTTAAATAGAAATAGCAATTAGCAAAAAAAGAGAAACATTAGTTTTTTGTTTTTTTCAGTATAAGCAGTCTGGAAATGTAATTTTTAATGAAACAAATAAACATAACTTACTTCATAATTTTGAGCAAGGTACATCCCCACGACATTCCCCAAAGTGAAGCCAGCCTGTAAACAAAGAAGTAGAGCTGTTATTCATTTCCATGTTGGGTAATTCAAAACACATAGTCGCTGCTTTTGGAGGATGTCTGCTCACGTTACTGTCTACAGTAGAAAAATAAAAGGCATAATAGAAAACAGTTTTTACACAGAAAGACTTTGTTACACCAACTTTGTAAAGCAAACTGTCTTGTAATTGTAGCTTTTTTCCCCCCTTCAGATCAAGAACATTCACCTTGCGCTGACAAAATTTCCAACTGATTAATAAACTGACAATATATCCACTAAACTAGACATAATTCACAAATGATAATTTAGCTTCAAACGAAAATTAAGTCGTATTAATGGGGTGTCAATTTTTCACATTTTCAATGTTTTTTACTCTTAATCTTTTACAATATATACCTAACTTGCTGCCATTTTAAAAAGTTAATTTACTGGTCTTTCAGATTATCTAAATCTATTTATGGCATACATATTGCTAGTAGCATACATATTTGACAAACTAATTCAATCCTATAAAGACAGAATCTCGGGTATTTTCTCATGATTGCCTTTTAACTTTTAACAGATATCTCATTAGCATGTATCGCTAACAGTTACCATTTAAGCAACTTGGCAAAACTATGGATGTCGTCATGAAAATATAACTCACCAAAAACTGCAACATGATGACTTAAATAAACTTATTGAAGTTCTGCTCCCGTTACATAAACTTTGTAGTTAAAAGCAGGTCGGTGCTTCAAAGTTAAATGATCCAAACCAGCTAGCTAACGAAGCTAGCCGTCCAACAACAGAAGTGTACGCATGCGCTTCGGCGTTTTCGTCCTGAGCAGCTGACTTGTAGTCTTTTCCTTTCAGCTGCTCCCGGTCGAAGAAACTGCAACTCCCAGCTCCACCCGGTCTCCGTTGTTGCAATGGTGGTTCCGGGGGGACATTGAATGACTTTGGCTCCATCTCGATATAGAGTCTCTTTAAAACCCATTAACCAGCGAACATGGAGGCTCTTATCCCCGTGATAAACAAGCTGCAGGATGTGTTCAACACCGTGGGGGCCGATATCATCCAGCTGCCGCAGATTGCAGTGGTGGGGACTCAGGTAAAAAGCTGTGCCTGTGAGCATTTGGTGATAGCAGCTGTCATGCTAGTCGTAGCCCTGCAACCTTGCTTCAAACATGCATGAATGAAGCGGAAGCACCGATATTACAGTGTCTGATTTAATTGCACTTTTATATCCTTGAAATAAGTGAGACTTGACAAAATAGTTATGATGTAACAGCTTTTATTGGAGCTGATGCACATGATAAAATCTGCACACTGGTAAATGTTATCAGCCCACATTCTTAAATTAGCCCCAGTTATCTAAAAGCAGGTCGGTTCCTGAGTGCAAACACCCCAGCCTGGCTGAATGTTTCCATATCGGGCTGTGTTTATAATGTCGTCTTGTCTCCAGAGCAGTGGAAAGAGCTCTGTGCTGGAGAGCCTGGTGGGCAGGGACCTGCTGCCCCGTGGGACTGGCATTGTAACCAGGCGGCCCCTCATCCTTCAGCTGGTCCACGTAGATCCTGGAGACGGCCGGAAAAATGAGGACGGAGGTGGGTGCCTGCAGGAAATGCACATCTTTGCTTGACATGTGTGGTGTCCAGCAGTGGGGAGCCAGACTTTTAAAGTTGGAGGGAGGGGGGGATAAAATTTACGTGCGCACATATATATATATATATATATATATATA